TTATATATAATTTGTAGGTGTGAACCATATTTTGACCAGTTGGGACCTGCATGGATGGGTGTGTGGGGGCTTTTCTGTTTTTCATCATCATTTTGATGTTTGTTGTGCCTTAGTTGGACACAGCAGTAACGCACCGATCAAAGAGTTCGTTTAATTATTTATAAGAATATTAACTAATTTTGGTATTTCCGTAGTTTATTTATGCATTGTTGATCAAATGACGACATATCAAGTTGTGTTGTGTGAGTCGATCGACCTAACAAATTACATACTAGTATTCAGTTTGAAGGCGTGCATACAAAATTAAGATCATCATTAGATCTACATGATACTCGAGTCAACGAGTTTAGGATAGTGTCTACTTTCTAACTTGATGATAGAGTTTGACTATGTCAAGGAGCTTGGTACGACAACTCGAGGTGTCGGTCAAATGAGGTCAATGGCTGGCCAGTCGGGGCTCACATAGGACCTCGATCAGATAAGGTCGAAACATCGCTATAACGACTTGATAGAATATACAATTGTAGGTGTTGAAAAGAAGCCACCAATGTGGAAAATGTAACAGCCACCAATATTGAAAATGAAACATTCACCAACAAGCCACCAATGTTGGAAATGGAACAACATGCTTTCTTTGAAATTTGGCGCATTCTTTCAGCTATAAATAGAAAGCAAATGAGGGCATCACACATATCAACCAAAAAGGAGAGTGAATAAGAAGTAGAAAATTTTAGTTTCTGTGTGTAATTGGATTGTGAGTTGTGAATGAGTTTGAGAGTATTTTGTAAACACGAGTGTATTTCATTTATCCTAATAAAATATCTGCAGTAGTCCAGAAGCACGAGCATTATTGATCGAACTCCGTTATCAATTTGATGTGTCCAATTTTTCGCTTTTATTTCACTTTTATAGATCCGACTTCATGGAAAATTCAACGTATTTTTTCCCAGCAGTAGGTTCATGAGGTCGATGCGGCGACCTAGCTAGGGACCTGTAATGTCCTGTCGGGCAAGTAAATAGAATCTTATTCACATGGTAAGTCTATCATCCTGAGAGGTTAACGCTATATGTGCAATATCTTTTTCTTATTAATAAGGTTGCGTGGACCATAAGATAACCTACTTATAAAATGAGGTTATTGAGTTCTTTATGGATTATAGCATATTGCATACCAATGTTAAATAAGTCGTTAGACGTGGCCTAGAAATTAAGATTAAGTACATTATTTTTTTATTTATTTTCACAACCTACAAAATAAAACTACCTTAACTTATATTAAACCCCCACACGTAATCCAAATAATAGTGTTAATATATTATAAAGAAAATATGATAACAAAATAATGTAATTAATGTTTAAAAAATAAATACTAAAAAAATTACCGCCGAGCCCGCCTAGGAGCGCCTAGACCCACCTAGGCGCTGCCTAGCTGCCTGGCCGCCAAGCCTGCCGAGCCCACCTTGGAGCGCCTAGGTGCGCCTAGGCCTCGCTTAGCCGTCTGACCGATTTTTTTCAGTCGATTTGTGCAATCGGAGACGGACGCCCAATTTTAGAACAATGTGACATACTTCAGTTGATAGCGATTCACGGTGAAATACTTATTTGAGCGTCAAAAGATTTATCACCTGGACCCTTCCCAACGTATTCTGCAGGTCAGCTGAGATTGAGTTGGAGTACATTCATAACATGATCGGTTCATTAACCCATTTGAAATAATTTGTACATCAAATTTATATTATTTCAAAGGCGCATCATAAGAAGGGAAAGTCGAGATGAAACCCAAGTGAGGTTCCATCCCAAAAACCAATTGGTGGAAGGAGGAGTAGCCCATTAAACTTATAAATTATGTCTATTTTCCCTATATAAAGGATGTAGGACAACTCACAAGTGAATATTCTAATATGTTCTCTCACTTGTGAGTTCTTAAAAAGAAGCCCAAGCCCATGTACGAAACTGGGTGCCCAAACCCTACTAGAAACGGGTATGTCATCGCACAGTCTCAATAGAACCGACTATGATACCATGTAAGAAACAGAGGAAAAAACGAGTGCGGTCTCACACACCGGCTCTGATACAATGTAAGAAACAGGACAAAAAAGGGTGCGGTTCAACATGAAGTGCACCAAGAAAGAGAAAGCCCAAATGAAGTCCAAAGGTTTCATCCAAAAATTAATTGGTGGAAAGAGGAGTAGCCCACTAGACTTATAAATTAGGTTTATTTTTCCTATATAAACGATGTGGGACAACTTACAAGTTAATATTCTAATAATTATGAACTTACACAGTCAACCATTTTATGGTGTTGTGTATCCGCCTATAGTGAACTTACACAGTCAACCATCAACATCTCATCCGACGAACAATTACAACCGGGTGTCTGACACAACAGAAGGATGGAATCAAATCAACCCGGTGCCTCACGTCAATCTCCTGAACATGTCGATTGGGGTGTGGATAGCGGGTTCAATGGGGATTCAACTGGGAATGATGAAGGTAATGATGACGAGCAATATTGTGATGCTTACAATAATGAGATGAACATCAACAATAATCCTTGCAATGAAGATTTTCTCAATGAGATGGATGATAGCAATGACGATTCAGATTTCATTATTGAAGAAGATGATATGCTTGTCTGAGAAGAAGGTGAAGATGGCGACGACAATGTTTTGTCCCCTCAAACATGATGAGTGGTTTAAATGAGCATATTCTACGCAACAAAAAGAGTATAGCGATCCACAATGTTCCTCGACTTAACCTTTCTGGTGGTGTTGCTATTGAAGAGGACGATTTGAATGAAATGACTACTCGTTCGAGTAGCGGTTGGAGGATTCTCGAAGCCATTTTTCACAATGTTGATGTTCATCCCTTGTCTGAAGAGCCGTCAATGATAGACCGTGAATTAGCCAAAGGCGTTGTCACTGAAAGTAAGGAAGATTTGTTGGTAAAAGTGAGTTTATACCATTTGAAGCATAAAGTGGAGTACCGAACACCAAGATCTTCAAGTTCTCGGTTAAAAGTTGTGTGAAAGCATAAGAATTGCCCATTCTTGCTTTCTGCGCATGCACTGACTGGAAGTAGTTGAAAATTTTCAAAATTTATCCATCCACATACATGCTTGGTTAACCTGAGTCATTCAGCCCCTCGACAATTGCCTGCAAAGATCATTGGAGCATTATTCGTGCCGAAGTTGTTGACAGAGGGCCGAGTATTGAAGCCTGCAGAAATTATGGATGACATAGAGCGTGATCATGGTATTAATCTCAAATACGATACAACGCTGAGGTCTCAAAACGCCGCCTACGACTTCATTTATGGAGATCACAAGAAATCCTGGGAACTTTTGTCGGCGTATTTCCATATGTCGATGAAGGAAAATCCTGGAACATCAGCATACATTGAGACCGATAAAGATGACGTGTTTAAATATGCTTTCATTTATTTTCATGCGTCTGTAGGCTTCCTCAATTATTGTCGGCCCGTGATTGTAATTGACGGTACGCATTTGAAGGGTAAATATAAAGGCATCCTATTTGTAGCAACTATAAAGGACATAAATGAACAAATTTTTCGTTGGCATTTGGTATCGGTGATAAGGAATGTCATAGTGCGTGGATGTGGTTTCTCCAATAGCTTCGCTCCACTTTTGGATGTCCAGAAAATTTAGTGATTGTTTCTGATTTCCACCAGAGAATAAAGTCTGCTATGGAGGTTGCCTACCCTGAAGCGGTACATGCCATATGTTCGTACCACATTGGACAAAATATTCGAAGTCAAGGGTGTAAAGTCGTTGGTTTATATACAAAAACTTCATACACTTATTCTCCCGTTGTATACGAAAATTTGATGGCTATGCTTGCGGCAAAATATCCTGGAACATTGAAGGTTTTGATTGATGAAGCCATTTCAACTAGGTGGACACGAAGTCAATGTCCCGTGAGACGATATAGTTTCATGACGTCAAATGCTTGTGAGGTGCTGAAAATAGGTTGCGTTGGGCAAGGAAATTGCCAGTTTGCTCATTGTTTGAATGTATTCGAAACATTATGCAAGAGTGGTTACACAAAAGATGTGTCGAGGCAGAAAACACTGAGTGTGAAGTTCCTCCAACAATATCTAAGCGTTTAATGTATTATAAAAACCGAAGTGGACCAAATGGAAGCTTCAAATATCAATCACTACGTTTACTACGTGAAGGACGGGGTCAAAAATTTTGTCATCAATTTGAAGGATCGGACTTGCACTTGTTATCTCTTTCAGGTCGATTTATTACCCTGTTCACATGCGATTAAGGCTATCGGGTAATTTTTTCAATTTTTTTATTTAATAAAAGCCTCAATGTGTACTTATTGTTATCTTACAAAATGTTATATTGTGTTCTATTATTTTGTTTTCTATGCGTGTACCATTTTTAGGAAGGCAAACAAATCGGTGTATGGATATGTGCACGACTACTACAAGACCACAACATGGCGCAAACTTTACGAGCCCATAATCATGCCAATTGCGCATCCAAGTACTTGCAACTTAACTACAGCGACTAGTTTTATGGTTGTCAAATGCCCTATTAATCCCAAGCAAGACGCAAGACCGAGATCAAACCGCATACCTTCTACTGGCCCTTCTTCGAGCTCTCGAAGTAAATCATTTTGTAGACAATGCCGCGAAAGTGGGCATTACTCTACAACTTGTGTTGCGTTTGTCCATAATGTTTGAGCAACCAAATCAATTTGGACGTCCCGGTACCAAAGTTCATTTGTGTGGTAAATGTAAGCAACCCGGCCATCGTAGTAACAAGTGTCCTCAAAACATTACCTAGTTGTGTTATTTTTTTTATTTATTGGTTGTTTTTATTGATCGTAAATGAATGTTATTTGTATGAATGATTTGTATGGATGAATTTATTTGTGTTGTTTTGTCATATTTTTGTCCCGGCATTAAACCGAGCCTCCATTTTTGAAAAAAAAAAAAAACAAAATAACGATGTCAGCCGTGGTTGAGGCAGTCTTTCGGCCAACCGCAGTCGACCCTTCAACCGGAGTTCAAAATTTTCTTCAACCGGAGTTGACATGTCAACCGGCTGTGAGGTTGTTATTTGAACTTCAAACATGAATGAACAATGTGAGCCACAGTTGAACTTTGAGCCGTGGTTGATATACTCATTCGGCCAACCGCAATTGAAATTTTTTCTCAACCGGAGTTAATATGTCAACCGGTTGTGAGATGGTAATTTAAAGCTCGGGTCCAACCATCACATGTATCATAACCATAAAACAATCAAAAGAAACAAAAACTAGCATTAAATTGGACCCATCACATGTTTCATAACCATGAAAACAATCAAAATAAACAAAAACTAACATTAAATTGGACCCATCACATGTTTCATAACCATGAAAACAATCAAAATAAACAAAAACTAACATTAAATTGGATCCATCACATGTTTTATAACCATCAAAACAATCAAAAGAAACAGAAGAACTTTCACTGCGGATGAGTGCATGAAGAGGGAACGTTGGGTCCCATGGTTCGAGTAGTGGCCAATGAATCCAAACGAGCATCAATTGTATATAACCGAACATCAATTGCATCTAGCTGTGTCCGCACATATCCCTCAAATGATGTCAACTGATTTAAAATTCTTTCCATCCAATCCGATTGTATGAAACTTGTGTCGGCACCGTCCCCGCCGTGTGCTTCAGCATCCTGTTCGGTCCCGCCAATTTGTTGCATATCCAAAGATTTCCATTTTACAATATTTTCTTTAAAGAAACGCTCGACCTTGGCCTCTTTTCATGGGGGATAAGAGCGAAATTCTTATCAATGAATTCACAACGAGTCAACTCGTCCTTGTCTATAATCTTTGCCCGTGTGACCCCACGAAAATGAATACGCACCCCACAGAAATGTCCCAAACATCTCCAAATCCTCCACTAAGGCCCACAACCAAATTGGCACAACGGCTCTAGGATCGGGTGAAAAGAACAATCAACATCATAGCAACCTTCAATGCATCGTTGGGGTAATTCTGAACTTACTGTTGTTGAAATCATTCAACAAATCGCCACCGAACACAATAAATCCGTCATAGTGCCGGCGATATACCCCATCTCTCGGTGGTGGTATACTCTCATTCTCGTCGGGGATGAACGACAAGACACCAAACTTCAACCCGTTAATTTGACAAAACTCAATTTTTACCAAAATTGTAATTTTCACCTCCTATTCTAAACCAACGCTCGTTCTCTCGAGCGGAATCGACAACTATCTCCCTACCAAATAAAGCGATTAATAGCTTAGCACTATAATACGCTTCTGCATCAAATCTTAAAAACTGTCTGAAACATGATTGTTCAAACACCGTAAGTCAGCCACATACACCTAGTTGCGTCTTTATATGGCGTATTAGTTTTGGCTTCTTTTGACAATTTATTTTACCACTCCAATTGCGACCTCTCGGCCATCTCCAAGTCTAACCATCACCCTAGAATCATGGAACAATTAACTAATATTAATTTCTTTAAACATGAGATAGAGATTTATATACAAAATATTTAAATCCTGACGGAATGGTTCCTTAATGACACTGTAGCATTTCCATATTCAAAGTGCTATAAAACCAACTAAAAAAATATGGGTAAATTATACATTCATATACAAAGTGCTATAAAAAATATGGGTAAAATTAATTAGGTGGATATGACCCAGTTAATGTGAGTGTTATGTACACTTCTATATACAAATGTATCTACACCATTTTTGAAACATTATCCCAATAAATTATGAACATTATAGTATCAAACTTGGTTTTTGTCACTTGATTAAAAAAAAAAAAAAAAATGTCACTCAAAGTCAAAAACTTGGCCAATCAACTTTGAACAAAATTTTGTTGAAAAAAAAAAACTTTGAACAAAATTTCTCCGGACTAAAGTAGCCTACTTGATATAAAACACTACTAATAATTAGCCCATCTTTGCTAAAATACATTTTTGTCACTTTGAATTTAATTTAACAATAGTTATCCCCGCGAAATTTCGGCCCATGATCCTCGTGCTCCTTCAGTCCTTCCTGCTAACATGCGCGGTGGCGCACGCGATGCTCCTGTACGCCGCCATCGCCACCCCCGACGCAGCGTACCCTCCGCCGTACGGCCTTGACGAGTCCTTCACCACTGCCTCCGCCAACGCCGCTGCGGCCGACGGTCGTGCCTCCGCCGCAAGCCACGATGAGCGCGGCGCCGGCCGCATCATCGACATCAGCCACCGTTACCACGAGGATATGCCGTCGTGGGAGTCCGAAGACAGCGTCGGCCAATTCCTGTGGCTCGCCCGGAGCATGAAGAACGGCTCGGTAGCCAACTTCTCGGAGATGAAGATGGGGGTCCACACGGGCACGCACGTGGACGCGCCGGGGCACGTGTACGACCACTACTTTCACTCCGGCTTCGATGTCGACTCGCTCGACCTCGAAGTCCTCAACGGTATGGACTCAATATCGGTCGAACATTTTAAGCCTGAGTTTGGGTTTTCCGCTTCAGTTTACCTTGTGAATTTGACTGTGATTTCTTAGCTGCTTTTATGGCTCTGTGTACCAATCCGTGCATAACTGAATGATATATGTGTTATTGAGCTGGTCGATATTGGGTAGATTTGATCCCAATTGCAGGTCGTCATCGCCAATGGCGAAACCAGGACCCCGTTTTGGGGAGGACCCAATTTGCCTTTATAAAAATTTTTCACGATAAAACCAAACACAAACACAAATTTTCTCCGATCCAGCTTCCCCTCCATGGCTCCATGCCTCTCTGCTCAGCTGCTTTGTTTTTTCGGATTCTGGATTTCCAGTGGCGCTCCTCCGGCCATCTTGGCGCACCATCCCCACTCCAGCATCGGAAGGGCGCTCAAAGGGCGCCCTTCCAGTTCCAGCAAAACACCCCCACTCTAATTCGAATTTTTTTTTTTTTTTAAGGACCGGCGCCTCTCCGACCTTCCATGTGGTTTCGCCCCTGGACTGATCGCCCTTTCTTCATTGTTGGATCAACGGTCTGTGTATGTTGATCAAAGGGTGAAAAATCCGGTCCAATTGTGTGTAGGGTTGAATCTTCTGCCGGTGTTGATTTCTACATCTTCCATGTTAGATGAAATTACACTCTGCCCATTGGGGTGGTTTTTTTTTTTTTTTTTTTTTTTTTTTTTTTTTGTGTGGTCGAGCGCGTTTTGTCTGTCTCAATTGGTCAAGTGTAGGCTTTGTCTTCTTTTACTCAGTCCAAGCGGTGGGTAGAGACAAATAGCCATCATCTCTTTGGAGGAATCTTATGGATAAGTTTCTCTTTATTTGAAAGTTAGTGCTCTTAACTGAATTTCCATGGCTTAGTATATATCTTTAGTGGGTAGTTGTTGCCTTGTTGCAGCTCTAGTTTTCATTTCAAAAGCAAGGCCTTCTTTTCAATAATCCTAAATAATACTAAAGAAGAAATGATGTCTGTACAAGTTTTTCTGATTTGTCTTGTTCTGCAAACGATTCCCACACTTTCTTCATCGTCCAACTATGCATACCCTTCTGGGTATGGTGATGGGTCGGGTGATTGTGTTGGTGTTGCTGATACCGGTTCGAGGTCTTTGACGAGGCAAGTTCATGAAAATGAAGAAATCTTTGATATTACCCATAAGTTTACTCCTCATACACCGGTGGGTGATTCTACCGAGGGTATTGGGCAGTTTCTTACACTGCTGATGAGCATGAAGAATGGCTCGGACTACAATTTCTCGGAGATGAAAATGCCTGTTCATTCTGGAACACATGTAGATGCGCCTGGTCATATGTATGACAATTACTATGATGATGGGTGTGATGTGAATAGTCTTGACCTCAGAGTTCTCAATGGTAATTGCCGTATCGGATGTTGGGCTCCGAGCCGTACTTTCGTGTATTGTTCTTAGAGCAGTTTGAAATATTTTTGACAAGTCCTCAGACACACAAACTGGAATAGCATATTAACTTACTGGGTGTGAAGATGGAAGAATGGGACACGGCAATTAGTAAATGCTTATCATTTGGATTGATTGCTTCTTCTTTCATGTGCATCTTGAACCTCTATAATGTAAATTTGGAGCATAAATGGCTGCTACCCGATGAGTTCTTTGAACTTCGGACGACCAATTTGGTTGCACAAGTTTTAAACCTTATCCTAGATTCTGGACGTATCCACAGTTTTACCCGTTCCATCTGTACATTTTCTTTCCTCTGATTAGGTCACCCATTGTTGCTAAGATATCCTTTAGACTTCTTCTTACTAACATTTACCGCTTTGCTCTTGTTACCTAGAAGTCTCATGCGAGCTTCTACTTGACTGGAGATTTTAGTAATGATCTTCTTGGATTTACTTGAGTTTCTGTTGTATTTTCTTAGTCTTTCGCTGTTGTGTTACTTGCCATTATCCTGGATATATTCTTTACAGAGCATTTACGTTGAGGAGTTATTAGCCTTGTCAGTTTGTTTCATGGATTTTTTTTTTTTTTTTTCTTCGTTGAGCAGGTCCTGCATTACTTGTTGATGTTCCAAGAGACAAAAATATTACAGGTATGCAATAAAACAAAATCTTCCATATAACTGAATGTTACTTATTTTCATCGTTTCGTCTAAATCACTAAATGATATGGGCACATCTGCTGAATTGGAGTTTCATGATATTCTGTAGATAAACATTTATTTGTGTGATCATCTAGTTAGCATTTAGTAACTAGAAACCCCATATACATAATATAACCTATACTAACTGGTTTGTTAATGATCTATTCTATGTTTTGAAAAGTAAGACGAGGCTTTTGTTGACATTATACAATCATAGACGTTTGTCCAAAGTCCAACCGTATGAGGCAATTAAACATTAAGTACCTTCTAATGTAAATGATGAAAAAATGTGCCAATAGCTGCGAATAATCCCGGAAACATGCATATATGAACTCCATATAGTAGTAAGTCATATTTTGATTGTGCACTTGAAACTTGCCCATCTAGTTTTTTCGTGTTAAACATTAGTTCCAGTTGGCACTTACCTTATTGAATATGTGGTTTGATCTTACATATCGTGAAATGGGAAGGTGTTTGTGGTAGGTAGTTTCTGTTATGCATTAACTTCTGTTTTTACTAATGTCCACTCATCCTCTCTTTCATTTTTCTTTGTGTTTGCAGCCGAAGTTATGGAGTCCTTAAACATTCCTAAGGGAGTAAAAAGAGTACTATTCAGAACACTTAATACAGACAGGTGAATGTTTCGACAGTAAATCATCGTATAGCTTGGATTTATAACTGATTCTTCCACATGATATTAGTGCCGTTACAGCTACTGACTGAGCTACTGTGATTCTTGAGCATTAGCTTAAAATAGTGGTGAAATTCTAAAAATTGAGCAGAGGGATATATATTTTCAAATCTATAGATAGTACATTATTCGTATGCTTTGCCCAAGTGCCTGCACCAGAAGCTGTGATGGGATGCTTATGAATATTTTTACTTGCATCAAAGTAAACTTTGTTAAAGCTGACAGACTGCACTGGTGATACCATTTTCATTAATGAGACTAATGTATAGATTTATATTGTGAATTTATTTATTAGACTAATGAGACTTTTGCCCAATTATTTTCAGGGGACTCATGTATAGAAAGGCATTTGACACAAGTTATGTGGGCTTCATGAAAGATGGGGCACAGTGGCTCGTGGACAACACTGACATCAAACTTGTGGGTAAGTCCCGATACTATTTGAGATATTTTTCTCCTTGTCAAATTGCTTTGTTGACAAAAAGGAAAAGTTGTTCTTTGTATAGGAGCGACGAGTTCAAAAAAAATCTAACTATTATTTGAAGATATCAGCTTTTCTTATGTTTGTACATGAATTGCACACATTTTTTTCTTTCACATCTTTTTGCAGGACTTGACTACTTGTCTGTTGCTGCTTTTGATGATTTAATCCCTTCTCATCTTGTTTTTCTTAAAAGCAAGGTACGACTTAATGCTCTCATAACTTTTAAATCTCTGCAACTACACTTCCATTTCTAGAGACATGGATCGCTTTCACCAAACTAGATAGAGAAATTTTAGTTTTTTTTGTTGCTCAATTTCTACATTTGTTTTAGCACATATTCGATCAGTACTCTGGATATTATTTTTCTAGAATTACTTAATGAAAAATGCTACAATGAGCAATGATTTAATGAAATATTTCAGGAAATTATCCTAGTTGAGGGACTCAAACTTGACGGTGTTCCCCTCGGAATATATAACGTGCATTGTCTGCCTTTGAGATTGATTGGTGCCGAGGGATCCCCCATCAGATGCATCCTAATCAATGGCACTCATTAACGTGTAAGTAATTCATAATCCAAACTGAAATTAATTGTTCATGATTAACCATACACATAAACCACAAGTATACACTCTTACTTCATTTTTCTTCCAGCAAGGCATTGGAGACCAACTAAAACCTAATAAAATAGTGATCGATCTAGTAAACTGTGCAGGGCCGTGTTTATTTGCTCTCATTTAGTTGGGTCATAAATGCTGACCTGGCATACGATATCCATTTGATTGGTGCAGAAATGAACTTCTTCGATGTTTGGGCATTATAAGAAGAGCATGTTGCTTGAAGACCTTCCTACCGATCAAATGGTAATGTGATGATGATTAGCTAAATTAAGAATAAAGTTTATGATCTTCATTAGCCTCTCTATCTCTCTTATTCTTGCATTGCCGTGAGACTATCAGTTTTACTGCTTCGGACATGGAAGTTATATGTCGAGCTCATTTCAGTACGTGTTGTGCTCGATCCTTACCTTGCATGTTGTTCTGTTTAGTTGGTATGGAAGGTCATAAGCCATCTTTTATTGCCAATAAATAGAAGTAAACAAAAAGAGAAAAAAAAATGATCGATATATCGGTAAATGATGGTATTTGCATTGCATGGGTTCCTCTGCTCCAAAAGTAGTGTTTCATTCCATATTCTGAGTTCGAAAGTAGTTCATCATTATGAGAAATGCTACAATTTCGTTACGGAACCATTCCGTTGGGATCATCATGTAACCGTCGTGGATAGTTGATCTTAACGGTTACAAAATGGTCCCGATTATTATATGGTTGTATAACTTGATTTGTGTAAGGGTAATGATAGGTACGCCTAGCTGTTAGTCGTAAAAGGGCATATCAATGAAAAGTAATCTAAATAAAATGGTAATATAAGTTTTAAAATAGATAGATAGTGTCATTTTTTTCCAACAATGATGGCGCTCACGGGGTGCCAACTAAAGAAACCAATTGATAGTTGTTCTTTGTAGAAACAAAGAAAAATGGTTGAGTTGGAACTAGATAAGGTCCGGCCTGGCACGCCAGTTCGGCCCAAACTCGTTCGGAACCATTCTGTGGTCAACGGGCCTCAAATCGAGCCTGTAGTTTGATTGAACCAGTTGCGAGAAACATATTTATAGTTTTCGAACCGTCTGACTAGTTCGGAACCGAACAAGAACCGACAATTTGGCTCTTTTTTCTAAAAGAAAATAATTGATTAGTTATTGATATCAAATTTAATTGATATCAAATAATTGATTAAAAAATATTGGTAAGTTTAATTAATAAATTAAAATCAGTTTTGATATCAAATTCAATAAAAACAAAAGTCTCACTACGGATGACAAAAAAAAAATTACTAAAAGAAAATAAAATAAGTTAAAAAGAATGTTAAGAAAGTTTTATAATTTATAGTAAGAATATTTTGTCAAAAAATTATACTATTTTAAGTAAATACAAATATTTATATAATATATATATATATATATATATATATATATATATATATATGTTAGATATAAGTTTTATGTTCTAATGATACAATGTGTTATGTTTATACTAGATTATTCCAACCACTCTTATACATTAATTAAGATTATACTAGATTATTCCAACACCTTTTATACTATTAACAGATGAACTTACTATTCTTATTTCATGTCAAATTCATTATTCAAGATTAGCACCACTTTCGTTATTTTGATACATTTATCAATTTCTATGCCTGTCTCCTTCAAATATTTTTATATGTATAGAAAATATTTAAATATTATTATTAATAAACTTTTTGTCAATATCAATTTAGGTCTTAATTTAAACTTTAATATACATAAATGGTATTGTTTGGAACACCATTGGAGAAAGTGTTACGAAGTTTTACTTCTGTATTAAGAGGTTTGATTTTCCGCATGAGTTTATGTATTGGAACAGTGTGAAATTTTTAATCTATTTTTTTCTTATTTATATATTGGAACTGTGAGATTTTAATATAATTTTTTCCTTATTTTCCTTTTAAGTTCCACATTATTCTTATTTTGTAACACTGGCAACCATTATTAAGTATGTATTGGAACAGTGTGAAATTTTTAATCTATTTTTTTATTATTTATATATTGGAACAGTGTGAGATTTTAATATATTTTTTTCCTTATTTT